TGTACTCTAGTATTACTTCAATGAGTCTTGTAAAAGTGTGGATATGATCAATTGTACTGAACCCTCTCTGAAACCTTGCTTGCTCGCATGACTATCCTCCACCTAGTATTCTGCCAATCCTGTTCAGGATGACAGGAGTGAAAGCCTTGCATATTACAGACAGCAGGCAGGTTTTGCGATAATTGCCAATATCGCATGGATCTCAATTTTTATAAAGCAACACAGTCTTGCTAGTTTTCCACGAGGTGAGCACTTCGCAATCCGACGGGTAACGCGTGAAGGACCCAGCCAGAGTTCTGACGATGACTGGTGGAAGACTCTTCAGATGTTCTGGTTTGATCCAATCGGGACCGAACGTCAGCTGGTTAGTGCCTGCAGCTCGCGCGATTCCACGCTGACGTATCGACTCAAGAGCCTTCGAAGAGAGTCGTCACTTGGTTTCTTGTAGACTCAGCTTTCCTAGTTTAGTTTCCGATGGTCCGATCCCGTGTAAAACTTTGGAACAACAGCGACGTCAGTCAGGCAAAATCTTCTATGGAAGATGACGTGGTCCATTTCATTACGAAACTGTCCACCAGGTAACTCCTATGTTCATCGCGAATGAAATGACATAGGAGTCACCTGGTCTACGGATTTCCTTCACCGTGAGTTCTCTCTCCCTGAAGGATCCCCAACCGGTTAGTCTCTGGTACTTGCCCAGAGACGCAAGTGTATTCAGGGGATGGACTCCTTGATTTTGCTCTGATTGGTCAAATACCATCTATTTCTGGCATGCGTATTCACGCGTACGTGTGTGGAGAGTCTATGGGTGCAGTTAATATCCTGCCCATCGACTCATTCAAAAGCTTGCTATCGAGTGACTGGGAAGTGTCTGGGAGGCGATTCGGGGCCGCCTCCAGAAACGAAGCCCCTCGTTCACTTCAACTTCGGAGTAGCCTGGCAAGCTCCCGGAGTCGACCTAGCCCTCACGTCAGGGCCTTCACGCTACACATTGGGTATCTACTCGCCAAAAATAGTAGCAGAAATGGGTCTCATTCTCCTGAACCTGAGAGAGCTCCTAATACGGAGGCGTTGGGTAGGACCGTTCGGAAGAGGCTGCTAATATCCATGGGCCAAAACAGGCTGCTTAAAAGGAGAAGGACTAGGATGGCGATCTTTACTTTCTACGCACGGACGCTTGCATCAGAAGCGTGTATGGAAGACCTGATGATGCATGCTAGAAAGATCAAGTACGACGTCATCGGACTGACCGAAACGAGAAGGCATCGCCCGCTGCACGCTGTATTTGAGACTGGAAAAGAATTGTTTCTTGGGACATGCGACAGTAGAAGCGTAGGCGGCGTAGGTGTCCTCGTCAATACGCACTTGGCCATGAGCATCGATTCGTACGAAAGCCTAACAACCCGAATCGGACGTTTGCGATTAAGAAAATGTGGCTCAACCGCAGCTCTAACCATCTTCGTTGCCTACGCAACAACATCAAGCTAAGAAGAAGATGAGTTGGAGGCGTTTCATATGGATCTGGAGAGGCTCTACAGAGAAGACCGTACTTTCTTCAAGGTCAAAGTTGGTGATTTTTAACGCCAAGATTAGCCCCAGATGAACGTCTGAAGAGCTCCACATCGGGACTCACGGAATGGAATGGAATGAGGCAGGGTTAACGGCTGTCCGATTTTATTTTCCGATTTATTTCGATTTTATTTCACATGAAAAACAAAGGCGTATTGTGAATCTACCGCTATTAATCTGCAATTTGCTATTGTTCACAGTACATTAGTGAGGTTTAACTCACATTCAGTCGGAAATGCAGATAGCACTGACCTGAGAAAAACCGTTTAGTTTCGGAATAGCAACGTGTGAAACATGAAAAACAACAGTATTTGGTAGGAAAACACCGGCCTTTGATGACATCATCGCAGGGAGAAGACATCAACTCGACTAATTTCTGGATGGTGGACACCGGCATGGTGGCTCATTCCTTCGCCAATTGAGCGAATATTTCTTCACTGTTCCTACTGAAATTGTTCGAACAACTCCTTTTAAGCTCTTCCCACTTATGCTCTATAGGATTCAGATATATCACACACCATCACATTTCCTCACCATGCTTGGTTGTGGGTAAGGTGTACCTTCGACTGAAACTTTCCCCAAATGGACGTTGCTCGCACCGTACTCCACTCTAGCTCTCCTATTTTTTGGACTGATGAACGGCTTCTCGACTGGACGCTTCCCACAAATACCAGCATTATTTAAGCGTCTCCTACTGTCTGCCGACAAAGAATGGTGTCATCGCTAACGTTGAATTCAGTGGCAATGTCAGCCACAGTAAGGCGAGGGTACCTTATGTTGACCAAAGTATGATCCGTCTGTCCTAGGCTGATGACCGTCTGTCCTGGGCACATGGAGAGCATCGAAATCCTCCCGTTCTCTCAGCATCACAAACAGATTTCTGACAAGATAGCATTGGATAGTCTGTCTTCTTGAAATGGCCGTGACTTTTATCCCTAAGTCCTTCATGCTTACAACTGCCTGCCAAACTCATTTAGTGAGTCCTGTATTTCTATGTATACCTTGCGTGTACAAGTAATAACGTCGAGCACAAACAGGATGCAAAAAATGCTATTATCGCTAGCTTCGCAATCATCAGAGGAAAATGCTTCAGTAGTAAAACTTTTGCACTGCAACTTATTCACGTGATCCCCCAGTTTTGAAGCCGAGAAGTATAAATGGGTTCCGTTCGAGGTGAGGTTTGGCAAATTCACGTGTTTCTCAAATATCTTCACTAGAAAAAAGTTACGATTGGAAAGGCGTTCCAGCGAAGACTTTTGAGCGCTACTGTATATATATTTGTTTACATATGTACATGAATGGGTCTAGTGCAATGCATATCCTTGTATGATAACCGTCCGATAAGCATGATGTTCCACTCCAGGCAGCCGACTCTATTACTCCACTGTCACTTGCCTGGCTTCTGGTACTTTTCGGAAGACTGGTGCGCTAAAAAAAAACTTCTTTCAGCCTCTATGTATCATGAGATTCCGTGAATACCCTGCGTTGAACTATTCGAAGCTCTACACAGTTAAAACAAACCGCTATAAAATAGAAAGAACAATCGACTCCGAAATTGCATTCATCATTGCCGTCATCGTGATGACATGATGTGGAGCATCTGTGAGTCTGGGCATTTCGTTTTAGTAGAGTACTGATCTTGTATAGGAGTGCAGGCGGCATGATGATGCGACTACCGAAGAGTAGGGATGCTTTCCTTGGTGAAAGATCGTTGCGCAGATGAGCGTAATTGGCAACGTGGAGTGATGGCTTCTTCGGCCAGTTGTTGTGGACTACATGGTCCAGGACTTAGCGCAGGCAGTCGTCTTCAGCGGTAGCATATGCTACATCTTCGGCAGTGACCCGCAGACTATTTACACTGTCGTGGACGATGGCGTTGGCGTCTCTGGCGATTTTAGCGATTTTGACGTCTTCTTCCAGTGGCGACTAAGCAGAAATGAAGCGAGATAGCGTGTCTGCCTGATCGTAGCTGGTAGTACTCCGATATTCGATGTCAAAATCGTAGGTGCGCAGGGTGAAAGCCCAGCGTTGAAAGCGATAGCCGTGTACGCAGGAAGTCCTTTCTCCGATCCAAATATGACCAAGAGTGGCTTGTGGTCTGTGAAAAAAGTGAAGTGTCGCCCATAGACGTAGCGGTGAAACATGCGGACGGCGTAGATGAATGCAAGACCTTCCTTTCCTGTTTGACCGTTATTCTTCTCCGTCGCACCGAGAAGGCGGCTAGCGTAGTAGACGGCATTCTCTGATTCATCCGGGTAAGAATGGGAGATGACTACTTCTATACCATAGTCTTAAGCGCCGGCTGTTGGCAGACTTGGGTTGCAGTGAGTCAGGAGCACGTGCACTTCCTTGGCGCGTTCAAAACCGGCGTCGCATTCGCAATTCCAGTTGAACGAAGCACCTGTCTTGAGTAGTGAGTCGAGCGGTGCACGAAGCTGACGCATCGCTGGAACCAACACTTCGTAGTAGTTGATGAGACCGGAGAAGGGATGAGCGAACCTAAACGTTATCCTTCGATTTGGCATTTGGTGATGGCATCGATCTTCTTGGGACCGGGTTGGTGTCTGGAAGCGGTGACGTCCGAGGTAGGTCAACTGGATCATCCCGAAGTAGCACTTGTCAGTAGGGGCGCGGAAGCCGTGGGCGGATATCCTTGAAAATAAGGTTCCTAAGTTGGCGTTGGGCTCGAAAAGTGTGCTGCCGGTGACGATGACGTCGTCGAGGTAGGCAGCAACGCCGTTGAGCCCAGTGACCACGGAGTCGATGATCTGCTGGAAGATGCCAGGTGCTGATTTAACTCCAAACGGCAAACGGTAGAGCAGTCGATGCTTGTTGAATGTGAGAAATTCCTTAAAGCCGACTGTCGACTTCGACCGGTGGTAGGCGTCGGCGGAGTCGATCTGGGAAAAGACGGTTCCTCCACTGTGCTTGGTGAAGAAGTTCTCTGCGGTGAGGAATGGGTGCCGGTGCAGCAGGTGTGCGTTGCTGAGTCCCGTCGCGAAGTCAGCGCAAAGTCGAATGGATTCATTGGTTTTCACAACGACGATTGGAGCAGTCCGTTGGCACAGCGTCCAAGTTCCGGCTTGAAGATATCCGCGGAGTTGTGCCTCACTGATTGCCTTTTCTTGGATTGCGTCGTAGTCAAGCAGTTGCACCATCTGAGTGTTGGATCTCTTCGAGACTGAGTTGAATTCCGAGATTTGCTCATGCAATGCCAAGAAGGTGATTGTCGTCTTAGAGGCAGCAGACGTCTTTCTCAAAGTTAGCCTTGCCTTTATTGCCCATGACCGCGCAATCCGCGTTAAACCTTCCGTGAGTGGGCAATGGTGGACCATTGGCTCTCTCGAAGAAATTAGAGGTTTTTTGTAGACACGGGACTCCAAGTTGCATTCAAGTTGGACGAGAGATTATGGTGATGTCGGCGCCGTTGTTCAAGTGGGGGCGAATGGGAAGCCCATAATGTCGAGTTCCGTGTGTTTTTGGACATCTCCTATACGGCCGATGTCTCGTTGGTACCATGTGCATGGTAATATCTGCTTGATGTGACGTCGCGGCGCAGTCCTTGACTCTTGAGCGGCACTGATCGCGTTGCGATTTTGTGGGCGACCCTTCGTCCAGTGTTGCTCAGGAACATGGTGATGGCGGGTGAGGCGCCGCTTCTTTCTTTTGTGGACAGTGCGAATTTCCGATGAGTCGACGGCTTTGACGACTTTGGAGTCGTCATTGACCGTCATTGCTTGCGAAGAAAGAACGCGGTAGTCGGCCAGTCGCGGAGTCTGGAAGGCAAACACAAAGTCTACGCATTCAAGCGCGTCCTGCCTGATGCCCTTAAAGTTGACTTCCATTTAGCGAGCCTTAAGCAAGTTGAAGAAGTTGCCAATGTCTTTGTTGAGCGAAATGTTTATTTGGTGCCGAATAGCGTCATTGGGTTTCAACAACATCGTCTACTTCAAGTCTCTTGGCTCCTTGGGCAGGATGTGGCGAGCGAAGTGGGTGTGGCTTGCAGTGTCTAGGGCAGAGACGAGTAAGCGCGCCTTCCTCGCTTCTCCAATCCCATGACAGTAGACCTCGAGGATGTCATTGTGCATTGAAATAGATTGAAGCAGTTGTCTTGGTCAGCATCGGAGGAATACTTTTCAATCCCTTCGAGAGTTGGTCGAATACGGGTTCTTGTAGTGCGACTGTAGACGTTGCATTCTTCTGGAGCAGGTCGACGAGCAGCTTCTGCTGACTGGCCACCATCTGCAGGAGGTCCTTGATTGGAAAGGCTTCTGACATCCTGGCGATGGCGGAATGGTCTTTGAAGTCGTGATGCTGATCGTCAACTGCTGTGTTATTGGCTAATTGAGAAGAACAGCAAGATTTATTGGGAGCTATTAATAAAAGTACAATAAGCTTAAGTTTATATACTGCCTCAACTCGCCAGAACTTTCGATCAAACCAGGCAGATCATTCTATACGAGACCAATTTCTCTACTGACATGCGATCCCAACAGCTAGGCTACCAGTTTGATTAGATACACCGGATGATATATTTTGAAGTGTTTACAGGAACCAAAATGTTTATTCAAACCTCTACTAGCTAAAATTACTTATACTAATGCGGCTCGTCTTCATTCATGCAGGAGCAACAAATCATTCGCATCTGTCTTTCGCGATGGCCATCCATGGCAACCCAGAATTCGACGAAGAGGGCGACGTGAAGAGTCAGCTGCTTTCGCAGCTGTTTTAAGCATATCTCCTATCTCGCAGCAGGTTACCCTTTCGTGAACACCTTACTGTAGCCCTCTCCACTGTCCGTCTTGTCCATTTGAAAGAATCTTTTCTCATGATATGATCAGCCCATCAAAGTTTGGCGTTTTTCATGTATTCCATCGGATCGCTAAGACAAGAGTTCTTCACATATCGGAGCTGCGAGGTCCGTCTTGATGTTGCGTGGGCCGGTTGAACCTCGAAAGGCATTGTCCGAGAGCTCTGTCACTTATGCTCAAAGCTCTTACGTGGAGGCACTGGTCACCCAAATCTTCGACTGTTAGCAGAAGGAAGAACTATAGAGATGAACAGGTCAGCGCGAAGTCCTGTGTCAGCCAGATGGTTGTTGACCTTTTTCATCTTTCACAGATCCGAAGGCTACACACGCTGCTTTCTGTCTTACTCTTTGATCCTAATTTTACCTTTGTCAGCTCAAGCATTCTTCATAAACTGTGCCTTTGTTTGGTTGATCAGCACCCCTATCTTCTTTTCTGTCCAATTAAGTTCAGCAGGCATGGTCTCAGCTTCCGCAACGCTACTTGACAGAGAACGATGCCGTCCGCAAATCGGAGAAATTTGAGGGAAACCTCTCTTTTCAGACTGCCCTAGTCTAACGACTTCATAACCCACTGCAGCAGCTCAATCCCTTCTGAAATCCAAATTGCTCTGCGTTTTGAGCTTCATCCAACGTGCGCAATATGTGGGTTAAAAAGATTTTCGCGAACAGTTGTAAAGCACACTCAACAAGCTTATTAGACGGTAGTTACAAAGATCACCTTGGTCTCCCCGTTTGTGAGGAACGACCATTCGCGAATTCCTTCATTGGTTGGGTCTCCTCTCCTCCTGGAGGTAGGATGTCATGTGTGTTACGAGAAACGCATGAAGTTCGTAGCTACCCGCACGAAGTGGTCGACTTAGATCTTGTCGGAGCCTCGGGTAGTGCCCCTTTTCATGCTCGCAATCGCAAATTTCACTTCCGAAGGAAGGATCCGAGGTGCTGTTCCTGTGGCAGTTTTGGTTTTCTCTTCATGGACTCCTCGAGGCGACTAGGCGCATAAAGCATCATGCGACTGCATTGCAATAAATCAAGAGCAAGGGTACCGATGGGCGACGAATGAATGATGGAAACCTAATCAGCTTTGCCATCATACGCCTACGAAATGCGCACCTGAACGCCCTCACTATCGTCAACTGCTACATATTCTTAAAATTCTATAGCTGCAGAAGTAGAGCTCGTTGCGTTTTTCCACCAACTTTAGGAGATCACCACAACGGAAAGTCTTTCTACATGCTCGTTGTTGAAGATTTCAAGGCTAGGACTGGCGATTCATCAGAGGAAGAATTCAGCACTGCAAAGATCGGAATGAAGCGACAGGAACGAGACCGGAAACGTCTAACAGGACTCGGTTCGCGGGTCGACTCTTCCATGACAATTTTTTTCAGAAGAAGGAAGATCGCCGCTGGACATGAGAGCCTTCATAGTACAACTCGTGCTGAGTGGACCACATATTAACGAGCAGAAAGTGGCGCTTACTATATGGTGGCGTGGTACCGTTTTTCTGCAGTGGTTCTGATCATATCGATCGACTCCGCGCTAAGAGCAGATTTTCAGTAGCGAGCTGGATAAGGTCCCTCAACACCGCGCAAAGAGCTCGAAGTATACTGAATACAGTGGAGATGTTCTGAACAACGCATTGTTCCGATCTGGCCGGCAGGATGACCCGACCTAAGAATATGACGCGCTGGTTCGTGTTCCCCTCAGCTGTGCTGAACAAGCCAAGCTTACTCGAGTGCATACCTCCGCTCGCATTTCAGATGCGACGAAGGACCTTCAGAGGTAAAGAAAACCTTGGGGCTTGACTAGAACGCCACACGTCTTGAATGGATGCAAGCAAATATGAGCTGCAGACAAACATGCGGTGAGACCTTCAGCTATACAGGGAGAAGAGACTTCTGGAAGCAGCCTTAAACTAAACTAGTCTGAAAAATGCTGTAGGAATCTTCAATACAAAATTATACCACCTCGCGCTTGAAGGAGGACGGCACTCTTACAACATCGAGTTTTGAGATGGGGGAAGATACGCAGAGGTTTCACACGAACCTGTACCGATCCGCGATATTTGTACGTGCAAAAAGCAAAGAAAACGAAAAAACAGTTTAACCTAAACAAGCAATCTTCAGAACCGGCTAGATTTAGGTAGCTACAATGGATCGTGTTCTATCGTGGTGGACCTAGAACTCATACATATATGGCGACTGGAGAAAAACACTGGAGCTCGTTCTAGAATTGATGTTGTATGCACAATATAGCCCTTATCTTGCGTTAGCAGACTACCACTCATCCTGGTTCCTGCAGGACTCCTGAATGGAAAGTCTTCACTGAAGATGATGATATCGAACTACGTGAAGCACAGTCCTTTGTCGAAAGTACCCAGAAGTTCTTAAATAGAGGGAATGTGAAGTGACCAAGAATATGAAGAAAATTGATCGAACAAAATTGAGAGAATATCATTGATTAAGGTCCGCTCATTACAAAAGAGTTTTTCAAAATCCTCAAAACTCCCAATTCATTCCGAACAACTCCATACTTTGTATTAGATAACATACTCGAAAAAGGGCTTCTTCAGTGACACTATCGTGTAGCGCGAATCTCCCATTAAGGTCAGCTACCTTGAGCCTTGAGGCATGACCAAGTGACGAGAGCTGATTTTCCGAATGCTTACAACTAAACACAAACCAAAGTATCCTGCTGAATACAACGCGCTAAGAGTGTGTGTATGTGTGTATGGGTGTGTCTGTGTGTGTGCGTGTGTGTGATCAGTGAGCTCGAGCAACATCATCCGATTGTCTCTATAAGCATCACCTGTATCACCTGCCGCCCCGTTGATCATCGATTTCCTCGGGCCGACGCTATTAACGTCTCCATTCGTCCCTATCGTAAGCCAAAGTAGTCCAGTGAATCGTACCCGCACGAGGGAAACGGGGCGAATATTTCTTCGTCCAGAGCTTTCGTAAAGATGTTTGGCCACCGGACCGGCGGCTGTCCTGGTGATCGTTTGACGTTCCAAGGGATCCAGTCGGTAACCGCCCCGATCCAACGGTCATCACTATATCGCATGACATGCCCGGCCCATCTGATTTCGGATTGCTTGGCGTAATCATCGACATCCCTGATCTCGACGAAACTCGGAACTTCAGATTCCCTTCTGCACTTGCGTGTATAGGGAAATTCCGGGCATCTTTCTTTCCACTGCGCGTTGAATCGCGCTAACTGCATGCTCATCCTGCTTTCGTAGAGTCCAAGTCTCCAAGGTGTTCGCCAAAGCAGAAAGGACAAAAAGGTGAGCGCGGAGCCGGATGTTCTTTGTCTTCTTCACTACTCCCTCGACATTTTTGAATGCTCCCCACGTGGCGTGTTACCTTCTGCACAGCTCCGGAGCTATGCCGTCCATTATGTTGACTTCCCGACCTAGATACACACAGTTAGAGCATTCAGAAATGTTCGCTCCGTTCAGCGTGAATGGAGCACCAGGTATCAATCTGTTTGGCGTGACATCGACTTTGTTAGGTTCAGTCGTAATCCGATCTTTCCACAGGCGTTGTCGACTTCGACCAGCATTTGTTGCTGCTCGATGTTGGTTTTTATAAGCACGTTATTAACCCATTGACGACCGCGTGGCCCACCGGCAGGCCACACCATATCGTGCTCCTGTAGTATTTACAGGGTGGCTGAAAAGTATAGGACGCGCCGATTGACGCTTGCTGGCACCCTGCCAATGAGTATTTTCAGAATCTTGTGAGACTATTAGAAAGCTTGGGATCTGTACAAAAATCCACATAAGTCATTCGATTGACCGTTCCCCCGAACAGTCGCTACGAGAGTTTCTGCGCATTGACCCACTATCGAGAAGCTGCTCAGAGAAGGTTTCAGGAGCTGCGACATTGCGAAACGACTCGCTGTTCCCTCTCCAACCGTACGGAATGTTGCCGCTGCTCTTCGAAATCGAAATCGAGCCTCTGCGAAGCCAAAAAGGGGACGACCGAGAACAGTGAACACACTGAGGATTCGTGGCAGCACCAGGAAGAGGATCACCCGCAACCATGGAGTCAACATGAATCGAATTGCTTCTGACCTCAACATCAGCCGTCAAACGATCCAGGAAATTGCGAAACGCGACCTCAAGCTAAACAATTATCGGCTCCGTCGAGGACAGTTTCTTTCAGAGGAGTCCAAGCAAAGTCGACTGATAAAATGCAAAACAACTTTTTCGAGAGCTCTTCCGAAAGTGTTATGGTTCGGGCCGGGGTGACATCAGAATGCAAAATACCCTTGGTCCTCATCGACAGAAATGTGAAGATCAACTCCGAGGTCCACCAAAAGGTAGTTTTAATGGACGCTCTGCTACTCTGGGTCACTGAACACTTTCGTAAGCGATCATTCGTCCATCAGCAAAATTGGGCCTCTCCTCATGCCTCGAAGTCGACAAAAGCCTGTTGGACGCGCACTTCCCCGGTTACTGAGGTAAAGACATCTGACCTTCCTCTCCACCAGATCTCAATTCAATGGACTTCTCTGTATGGGGGTACTTAGAGAGCGAAATTGCAGGACGCTCCTACCGCACGTTTGACGCTCAGAAGTTGGCGCTTCAGAAGGCGTGGGACGATATTGACGTCGACTACCTGCGGCGTACGGTCGATTAAGTCATCGAGAGCCTGAAGGCCTGTGTAAGAGCAAAAGGATCGAACTTCAAACACCTGCTGTCCTAAGTGATCTTGTAGTTCTACTCTATTCCTCATTAAGTTTATTTGTTGCTCTGGTCTCTACCTTTGAACTTACGCTTACAAATGTGTCGTCCCATACTTTTCAGCCACCCTGTATATTATTCATCAAGTGTTCTTATAATTTTTCACGTTTTCAAGTATCAGCTGAGCTTACAACATTCTAGAGAATCTTGAGGCATCGTGATACAGGAATCATTAACTTCCAACTGCAGTTATAAGAGAAATTGAAAGTTAATGCAAGGACAATGTAAAAGGCGCGGTCGCCAATGGGTTAATCATTACCAGAGATCGTTTCGGGGAATTTTTACGAGCTTTGCATTTGGAAATGCTTATGACGACCGTCTTTTCAAACTATCTAATTTTTTGAAGTTGTTCAACGAACGAAAATTTTAGCAAGGTAATGTACTCCTTGGAAAAAAACACCTTTGGAGTTGCAGAACTAGAAGATTTTCTAGGACCACGCTATATGCTGGTTTCATTTAGGCCTGATGTAATGTTTTGAGAAGAGGAATTAAAAGAAAGTGGAAATTCAGATGAATAAAACAAAAAATAGAACTGCAGTCCACATGTGAACTGCACGGTCGTCAATGTTAACGTACGTATTAAAGCCCACATATTAAAGCCTAGCGAGCTATACGTGGTTACTCATATGCCAAAAACAGTAATAAAAATGGGCCTCATTCCCTTGAAGCTGAGGGGGTTCCTGATACGGCAGCGTTGGGGGCCAATACCGCTCGGCAGCGGCTGCTAAAATCCCGGGGTTACGACAGGCCGCCCAAAAGGAGAATGACCAAGATGGCGATATGTACTCTCAAAAAACGCTTGCATCGGAAGCGTGCATCGAAGATCAGATGATGCAAACCAGGATGATCAAGTACGACGTCGTCGTACTGACCGAGACGAGAAGGCGTCGCCCGCTGCATGCTGTATTCGAGACTGGAGAAGAACTGTTCCTTGTAACATGCGACATCAGAGGCGCCGGCGGTGAAAGTGTCCTCATCACGCACTTGGCCATGAACATCGATTCGCACGAAAGCTTGACAGCACGAATCGGACGTTTGCGATTGAGAAGATGTGGCTGAACCTCAACTCTAGCAGTCTTCGTTGCTTACGCAGGTCATCGTTGGTGATTTCAACGCCAAGATTGGCCCCAAAAGAACGGTTGAACTGCTCCATATCGGGGCTCTCGGAATGGAATGAAATGAGCCAATTGTGAGGCTGCCCGAGTTTATCATGTCAATCCACACTACCCAGGCAACTCGCAGTTCCAGGAGCCCTCTCATTACCGATGGACATGGAAGTCACCTGTTGGACAGTAGCATAATGAAATAAATCACATCATCGTCAAACGAAAAATTTGCCTAACTGACGTCGCTGTTGTTCCGAAGACCAGACCATCGTCTTCTCCGCGCTAGATTCCGCTTCTCAGCGCGTGGAAAGAGAGCTGTGTTGATCAGGAAACAAACCCTCAGGACTGTTGCCAACTGGGACCACTTCGCTCCGCTTGCGAGTTTGTGGGAAGATCCGTTAGCGACAGTATCGATGAAGAAAACGAGCTTCCCGTCGAACACTTTACGATGGCGCCAGAAAAGCAGAAAATCTCAAAGTTGCCAAGAAACATCTCTCTCCGAATTCTCTTGAGCTGTACGCCAGCGTGGAATTGCGTGAGCTGCAGGCAATAACCAGCTAACGTTCGAACTTGCGAAGCTATGCAGAGAAGCGATAAAGGAATATCTGAAAGAGAGAAGAGCAGCAGTTTCGACTGAGACCGCCGACGCTGGGAAGAGCATTTGCAAAGCACGTCGGAGTTTCGTCAATACATATGAGACCAAGATAACTTCCATTCGTCGTCCTGACGGAACTGTTATCGCATCCTGAAGGACAATTGGGAGGGTCATCTACGACTTCTACTCGGGTCTTGTCGACAGCCACGTCTACCTGCCTACCTACCATCTCGGGCAAGATGTATATATCGCTCCTTCGGTTCTCCCTCCCGAAATACCACTTGCCATCACGTCGATGAAGAATCGGCACACGGTCCCGACAGGATCAAAGCTGAGCATCTAAAGAGCCTTCAGCCAGTCATTGTCAAAACCCTGGCCCAGCTTTTCACGCGGTACCTGTCGGAATGTGAAGTGCCCACTTCGTGGAAAACTAGCAAGATCATGTTGCTGTATAAGAAGGGAGATCCAGACGACTTGGCAGTTATGACCCAATTTGCCTGCTCTGTGTAATCTATAAGCTTTTTACACGAATCATCCTTAACAGGCTTGGCAGAATATCAGATGAAGGGCAGTCATGTGAGCAAGCATGATTTCAGAGAGGGTTCAGTGCAATCGATCATATCCACACCGTTACAAGCCTCACCGAAGTATCGCGAGAGTACAAATGTCGCGGCTTCTGACAAGACTGCTGCTCTTATCTCTTTCAGATCTTTCTTGATCGCTTCTCTGTATAGCTTCGCAAGTTCGAACGTTAGCTGGTTATTGGCCGTTGCTCGCGCGTTTCCACGCTGGCGTATCAGCTTAAGAGTCTTCGGAGAGAGACGTTATTTGGCAACTTTGAAACTCTTTGCTTTTCTGTCGCCATAGTGAAGTGTTTGACAAATCGGTAGTATTCTTCATCGATGTTTTCGCAAACGAATCTTCTCACAAACTCGCATTGAAGCAAAATGGTCCCAGTTGACAACAGTCCCGGGGATTTATTTCATTATGCTACTGTCCAACAGGTGACTTCCATGTCCATCGGTAATGAGAGGGCTCCTGGAACTGCGAGTTAGCATGGATAGTATGGGTCGACATGATAAACTCGGACAGCCTCTAACCCTGCTCATTCCATTCCATTCCATGAGACTTCATGTGGAGCTCTTTGGCCCTGCTTCTGGGGCCAAGCTCGGCGTTAAAATCACTGGCGATGACCTCGAAGAAAGTATGGTCTTCTCTGTAGAGGGACTCCAGATCCATATAGAACGCTTCCAGCTCTTATTCGTCATAGCTCTATGTTAGGGCTTAAATGACGAGGATTGTCAGAGCTGGGATTGAGCCGCATGGAGCTGATATTTTCTCTTGCGCTCGTCGCATTGGCTGCTTCCATAATTCGCCGGCCGCCTGGCCGGCGAGCGAGCCGGCGTGCCAACCGAGGTCGTTGTTAGGTGGGGGAGGCTGCCAGACGGTCGGTCGACGCGGATCGTGTCGTGCCCAAACTCCTTCGAAGAGCTGAAAACAAAAAGAAACAAGATAAAAACTATTTGCATGAGCTCCTTCGAAGGGCGAAAGTTTTCGGGCCATACAAGCCCACGTCTGATGGTCAAGACGAAAGCATGGGGCAGGACAACAGGCGGACAGACATGCTTAAAATTACCTCCCAGCTTACACTGTGTCGAGATAGTTCTCAAATATCTGAAGAAAAAGGATGTGTTATGCTTTCTTACTATGAAAAAAAGCAAAACCGCTGCAAGAATATGCCTAAAAAATTTTGCCTTGCACCGTCTAACTATCACCAGTTTCCACCTATGCAAAGCTCTCTTCATGCTGATAAAGTGACCGACTCAAGAGCAGCTGTAACACACTTGGCCGAAGTCCTCGACGACTAACCACAGGAATTCCACCCCAGTAAAATTACGGAAACACCAACTAAATGGCAAAAGTCGAAGAAAAATGTGCAATGAAAAACCCTGGAGACTTTTTCACAGAACATTATACATGGCAACTACACTAGACATTCCATGTATATATATATGTATATTTATATTATATATTTATTTTATATCAATCAAGCGATAGAGGTCGGTATAGATCGATCTTGTTCATGAATAATGAATGGTCGCGACCGGTCCAAAATAAAGTCGATATTACTATTATTCACCCTTTATCTCCTACCCATTAGCTGCTGCTGAAGCAACGAGAGTGGTGAATTTCATTAAATAGATCGTGATCGTCTTCATCTTGTAAGTGAAGGTTTGACAGTCTCTGTTACGACACTGTCTCGTGAAGATGATGTATCAGCGCAGAACACTCTGGAGGCATTGTGAATCGCGACAGAGGCCCCCAAAATAAACAGAAAGGAATAATGCGTGGCGATTACTAGGGAACTCGCGCCGTTCGCGGACCTGTGTTGCTTTGATCTACGGCGTCGAGGCAGGAGCTAACGTCCTCATGTGCTCTTTAATCTATCATCTGAGCTTGTTAACATATATAAATGTCGTGAGCAACTAGGGGATCATTGTGCGGTAAAGAGCTACTCACACTAAGGTCAGATCCACTGCTTTTGATTTTCTGCCCTTCAGAACATTCTTCTGAAGTTTGAAAAGACAATCGTGAAGCGTAAATATCGCTCCGACTTTTGAGCTGCCTAAAAGATGAGCAAGCCAAAAGGCTAGCCACCAGTAAAGCTGTGTATAGCAATCTAGAAGGCTCAAACAAAACCAACATTCTAAAGTTAATTAGCCATACGGAGATTTTAAGAGAGTTGGTCCTGGGCTTCCTCTTGATCTTGACGTGAACTTTGAATTCCTTAAGCTCTGCAACTTTTAACTTACGGTGCTGTCGGGAAAGTGACGGCTCATTGCTCGCAGATTTTCACTCTTGGGTGGTACATCTAGCGCTACTATGACTAAGACCAAGGTAAGCCTTGCCATGTAGCACTTTTGCAATGTTCAACTACAGGGCAATTTTTGATTGAAGAACTGTTTCAGGATTGCCTTTCTTTTTAGAGAATCCATTTCAATCAGTTGTTCGACTCTTGGTGCTCCGAAATAAAGTTTCTAATCAGGAAAGGCTCGATCCTATACACTAACAAGCTAGGATTATGAATTCAAGGTCAGATAATTAATTTCGGATAAGCATAACCTTATAAGCACAAACATATCGATCTATTACATTCTCAGCGGGGAAATGTTCAAAAGGATGATCTGAAACATTGACACGTTTTACAGAGAGCCATACTCAGAAACAAAAATATCAGCAGATTGATCACGAAGGATGTTATAGGGAGCCAAAACGGAAAGGTGAAAACTGGAAATCGTAACGTATTTGTTGCAAGGGCGTATTTTCAGCTCTATGACATGTTAGAGAACGGCCAAGCCCTCATCCTGACAGGTATCAGCCGGAGCCCGTCGCAGTATAAAAAAAGTAAAAGAGTCGGAGAGTGCAACATATCTCTAAAAATCGACGAAATTTCTCACCACATCAGTGCTCATAATGGGCGGTGTACACAATCATATGACCAACATCTGGATAAAACGTATAAGAAGATCTTATATGAATGAATCAAGAGTAGCACTTTAACGAAATGCGCAGAAACTTGTTCGAATACTTTCGAACTATAATGCTCGTGTGCGTGCATGTGATGGAAAATAATCCGATACATTACGGTCACCGTTATTCGGTCACACAACCAGAAATGAGATTGCCACTAAAAAGGAATACTTAAATTCAGCACCAGCTCGACGCATTTCTAATTGTGTAGGATTGCAAGCCTTGAGAAAATCCAAACAGCTTTTTTTCTAAATTGCTATATTTGAGCTTCATTCTGACATGCTATCGTTATCCTTCATGTGTACGTTTTTTAAGATCTTAACTCTTCACTTTCACTGGTGAGCATTCCGCATACATATAATGCCTTCGTCAAGCTCCGAGTTTACAATATATGCATACAATCAGCCAGTTACAATATACAACACATCAAATCACATCAAACTGGCCGGAAATATGGGGAAAAAGACCTGTCGGCTTGACGGCTGGCGTTAATTTCCTGGCTTGTTGCTGTATATTTTAGGTGCTCACATGACTCTGCTATTCAGGGCCGTACCAGGCATCTATGCGAAACCCTCACATCTAAGGATGAAGTGTTTTAATTCTCATGTCTAAGTGTTTGGTGAAGGAAATATTGGAAGCAGGGGAAGTGTACCGCATCAAGCTGGAAATACATTGTTAGCTCAAGAATTCACGATGTAGAGGCGGTCGTTTGGCGCGATGGGCGGGGTCGCGCCGCCCATTTGAGGCGGTTCGCGGGTGAACAACTCGTTCACATCGGGCAACCCTCTGTCTGTCCTCTCCAGCTGATAGAAACGCGATCAATGGCG